AATGCTTCATGATTACACAGGCTGGTGTATTTCTTCCATGTGGGCTTGTTGGTTCTCTACTAAATGGCCACTTGTTTAACTTCAATCCTTTAAGACCCCGCCAGAGACTATATTCTTTGATAGCCGGGCATCATCAGCTTTCTTCACCTCATTTGCTTATGCACCAGTTTTGTCTTTAGCAATGTGTGGGAAGGTGAGCATCGCAGAATTCCGGGTTGTTAAAACAAAGTGCTCTTGCGTTGGGGGAGGGCTTGAGCAAAGGCCCAAAGTCTGTCCACTTCCTCATTGTATCAGTGTATTGCCATATAAATATATGTGCATATGCCAATACCTCTTTTTATGAATGAATATATTTACATAAGTACACACCTATGTGTATACCTCTATCTCTAGCTTTGCTTCCTGGATTTTTCCTCTGTTTCCTTTTGCCTTCCTCCTTTCCAACCATCACCCTCTCCCTTTTTCTGCCTATTAGTAGTTTTTCTCAGCTAGATTACTGTTGCTTCAACACCATTGTGATCTCTAATCTGTACGCCCTCCTCATTGTTGCTTTTAATTCCCTAGTTGTTCCCTTGCCTATAGCATTGTTTGCTCACCATTCCTTTTCTTTACCTCATCCTCCCCACAGGTCCCTCTGGAACCATCGGTCCCATTGCTTTCTTCTTGGACTTGCTTCCCATGTCTGCTTTTGTTTGTTGTTGTTTAATCACTTTTTCAAGTAGTATTGAATTTACTGTGAATACTTCAGAAAAATTTTTAAATAGAGCTATAAAACAATAGCCTAATAAAATTGTTTTTAGACTTAGCAGCAATGTAATTTTTAAATTATGTAAATGCAATTATAATTTTAAATGATACAAGTAAGCAATTCATTATATTCATGCTACCTACCTTTAGAATTGATTTTAGGACCTACTTTATCAAGATTTTATGAACACTGGCTAATTATGCTTAGGCAGAATAGTCATTTTTAGTCCTTGCAATAACAAAGTTTAAAATTGGTCAACACACTTCAGTTCACTTCATCAAAATTATTTGACCATCTTTGATTTAAAGCCCCTCTTTCTTCGATGTTTCTAGGTTTGATATCCGCTTAATGAAAGAAGGTCGCATGAAAGGACAGGCTTTTATTGGACTTCCAAATGAAAAGGCAGCAGCAAAAGCCTTGAAAGAAGTTAATGGATACGTTCTTCTTGGAAAACCAATGGTGGTTGTATCCTTTAAACTCATCTGTTTGAGTCTGCTATTTTAGAATAAGGCTAGAACTAAATTCAATTTACATTATCACTTAGAAATTTGAACAAATGTCATTCTAACTTGTGATACTGAGTTCACCATATCAGTAGGTCCCTAATCTGTGGATTCAACCAACGTCAGGTCAGAAATATGTTTTTAAAAACAATTAAGTTGTCAAACCAATCTCTCAGAGATTAAAGAGACTGGGAAGTACTATTAATATAGCATCTGTGTGTTTAGGTTATAGGCAAATAAGACATAATTTTGTATGAAGGATAGCAGGGGACATTTTAGTCCCTTGATAGGGA